CCCGCCGAATGCCGCGAGGTTTTTCACAATTGGGTCAACTAAAATGCATATGTAATTACTCACGCATATTTCAATCACTAGTTAGGCTATCTTCTCATACCTACGGATAACGATGCAATCTATTTATTTCACATTAGCCCTTAGCCTTCAGCGGACCTATGCCGTACTTCCCACTTTCCAAAAAATTTTGTTTTCAAACTAAATACGTTACTACCTACTTTATAGTAACATAAGTATTATGTCGGGTTTCTTGCCTCCTCTGACCCCGTATCCAATACATACTAACGCGTACGTTAGACCCCAATGATAACAACTATCAGGACAGTACGGTACTATTAAACAAATAGTAAAGGATAAACGAGGTGCAAATACGAAGTCGAGAACAAGGGAGCCGGCCAAATACCACCCGAGTCTAGACGAGGGAACGACACATTTTCAACAAAGCCGTACGAGTGCAGGGCTGAGCCAGTCTTGGGAGAGCGTACGTGTTTCAGTGGGAGAGGGTACGACGGCTGCTTTAATGTGACTTCAGGAGGCAGTCTTGTACAGAGACCCGGATTGGGTCGGCCGAGGGGGAGGGATGGTTTGTTTAAGTGGTCCAACGGCAAAGGGAAACTGAGTCAAGAGTGGTCAGGTTAACTAGGCACAGCAGCAGTGGCTCTAGTCCGCCTTCCTGTTTTAGGCCTAAGGGGGGGAGGCGTCTTCAAGAGGCAGTTTTTCAGTCGTAACTGTTATGACACACGTGTGTACTCGACTGAAATGGGTCAAGGGGGGAGGGCGGCCAGCGTCTCGGACGAAGAGATTTGACGGACACGGGAACAGAGGAAAGGAACAGCTTTTGAAAAAGGGACAAGTGAGTTCAGTTAGCGGCCGGTGAACTTTTATCAACGAGTGTCGATATCTCCCTACCTAAACCGGCAGGATACCTACTTAATGGCTCCATGGTTAGGGCTTTGTCACTATTCTAAACTCATTCAGGGTATTGACGATCGGTGGTTTCGTAGCTTCGTATTTCGATGCGAACTGTGGCACAGCTCTAAGCAGCTCTTCGAGGCTTCGGTGGGTCTGTGCCTTACTTCCTACTTTCACTAACACATTTGTCAAACTAACTAGGCTACTTTCTAATTTATAGTAACATAACTATTTCTTTTACCTCGGTACCTTTTGCACCGTTTCGATTACGGTGCCTTCGTGGTTGCCCTTTATGGCCTTCAGTTGCTGAAAGACATCAACCTTTGGGTCTCTTCCGTCATACGGTAGTTTGCGTCTGCCGGCTTCAGTGAAACCAATATAGAGTAGAGCTAGAACCATCTAAAGACTCCAACCGTACTGAAACATCTATTTTCTCGCCTTTACGCCTTCATCCGGTTAGACAAAACCCGGTCGCCATTCGAGGCGATCAAGGACAAACCGTCATCTAGTTCGAGTTGTTGGTCCCTAAGGGGCAAAGGAACACCTCGAAGATTCTGTCAGGTTTACTTTATCGATATATCAGTCTTTCTTGCTCTGTCATTTTGAGGAAGGACTCGGCGTTGGAAAATTAGAGCTTGCATTTTGTTTAAGTATTTGTGGTTCCTCAGTCTTATGAATTTCAGTTAATGAGCTCAATTCCGTTCATTTTCACTTTCGGTTAGGTCAAATCCGAACAAGAACAACTTCTTGTGGCAGAGCGTTCTATGCTGCAGGTACTCAGTTGTCAGGTCAACCAGACACAGCAGCTGGTGCCCTAGTTCACTTTCCTCTGCTGGGCTGAGGAGAGAAGGTGGCGGCGGGTTAAAGAGGCACCTTCACAGTCGTAACTCTGTGTAGTCGAGTGAAATGTGTCAAGGGGGGAGAGCGGCCAGCCTTCTTGGAGGAAGGGATTCGACGGACACGCGGAACGGAGGAGGAAACAATCGTATGTGGGTTGGACAGAATTTCACTAGAGATAGACGTGGACAACTTCAGAAATTTTCAGCCGGAAATAGCCGGAAATGTTAAGTTCTGCTCAATATTTTGCACCGTTTCGATTACGATCGTAACCTGATTGGTGCCTTCGCAGTGACTGACTCGGTAGGCTTTTTCTCTCCCACAGAATGGCCTAAAACAACCATAAGAGGTATGCCAGAGACTAGATTTGCACCATAAGGCTGCCGCTTGCCTATACGAAAGTTGGCAAGGACACGATATGTGACTTCACTCAGGCAACAAAATGGACCTCAGCGTGCACTATGGAATCAGTGGTGGTAGGAATTTCGTGATTGGGGCCAAATGAAGGGAATAAGATCACCAACCCTACCCTAATCCAGTTTATTGTGCTCGCTAGGTTTGCCGGGTCGTACGCTAGTTTGTTGTCTCGACATGTCTGTGAGATAGAGATTTACGCTTTATTTTTAAGGTGGCATCCAAAGCTTTCAGCAAAACGGCTCCATTCCCTTAAAGACCACGGTACAACTTAACAAAATACTCACAAATATAGGGGATTTCAATGAAATCAAAATCTGTTATGGAGACAGGTCCAATCTCAGTTTCTGGAGTTCTGTTTCTTTACACATCAGGTAGCGTGCTAGGAATGGGAGTAGAGAGTGCTGATAGACCGATGTACGGCAGGCCATGCGTCCGAAGCTTCGGTGCATAGTACGGGAAAACTTCGCAGCCATTTATTCAGAGTGTGCGGATGGATAACCTCATCAAGACTGTGGTTAGCGAATTGCCTGACAAGTCAACTTGGACGCCGTTAGCTGAAGATAGCATTCAGAGAATACGTTAAAAAATCAAAAACTATTTTAAGTGAAACTGAAAAAATAACCGGAGAACCGTAGAAAGTGAGGGGCAGGATGCAGGCATCTAAAATTGCAAGATTTGTGCTCAAGGTGTGTGTGATATCATATAGGAATTTACGAATTTTAATGAAAAGGGTTGCAGTATGAAGAAAAAATGAAAGATTAGATGTCAGAGTATCACCAAGGTACCGGAAACAGGATAACTCGTTCAGCAGGATTTCTAAGGATTCACAACTGATGGGAGGCTCGCAATCAGAAAACGCTTGGAATTGACTTCTTATTATTTTTAAGAAGAACATTGGCTAAAGACTATGCTGAGAAGTGATTCAGGCCATCTTTCAGAACATGAAGATGTATCTGACTTTCCAGAAGATGGCCAATAACCAGATCCTCAGCATACTTAATGTGCAAGCATTCATTTGGCGATCGTAGGTCGTCAGTGTGGAGGGAAAGGAGGTGAGGACATACGACAGACCCTTGAAGAACTTCACAGGTGTTGGGATGGACCGTAAATTTTTACTATTCTCACTAAACGAATTGATTGCGGAAAGTGAAATAGTCCCCAAACGAGGCTACAGTCCAGCCGGGAGAGCCACATCTAGATGCTTTATTAAGTTGGCGATGACGTGAGATATTATTAAAGGCTGAGGATTAGTCAAGAAATGCATATGCCTATGCCCGGCAACCCTTATCTAAATCTCTCAGAGCAGAATGGACTACCAGAGCAACAGCGTCTAGTGTACTACGCCTCGCCTTATACGCAAGTTGCAAGGGATCGGAAAAATCAGAGGAAAGCGGCGTAATGATGTCTAAGGCAACTCGTTCTGCATGTTTCAGTCGTGCGACAGACCAAGCAACTGGACGAAATGAATAGAGTAGAGGTTTTTCGGGATGGGAGTGATTCTTACTGAAAGCCAATCGTCGGGAATCCGGGACTTCATCAAGAATAAGTTGATAAGATGTGTCAACGCAGGGGCTCACTGGAAACCGCATGACTTTAGGAGAAATATTGAAACAGCATCTGGCCTGGCAGTTTTTGAACCCTTTTTACGTGTTTTACCACTGGGGCCACAGAAACGGAATAAAAGACACTTAGTCATAAGGAAATATCGTTCGCCTGATGATGGGAGTCGGTGGGAGTGTGGATGGAGTTCTCATTTAAACAGTCTAAGTCAAAATCGACGTGTGCAAGTGTATTGCGTTGTCCAGTGAGACGCTTGAGATTCTTAGATATGCATATTTCTAAATGCCTGCATGTCATTCGGGCTTTTTGTGCGTCAGTAAAAGACTCCATCACTTGGTTTATACTATGTGTGGACCGGAACGAAACTTGATTCGGTTTTGCTCTCTCTGGGAAGCAAGTCATCTTCCTTTTATTTCGCTGTTCGGACACGCGATTAAGTGATTTTTAAAGGAGGCAATCTGTACCACTCTTAGTCCATGTCTGTATAAGGGCAGCCCTATCTCAGTATGGTTAAATAACAGCAATTAATGCTTTTAGCCTATATAAAGAAATACACATAAATATAAATAGACAGGTTTGGCAAATTTTCGTAATTCAGTTGACCCAATTGTAAAAAACGCCGCGACCTCCGTGGGATTCAAACCCACGCCAACAAGGGGAAAGCTTTAGTACAGCCAAGACTTTAGCCACCTGAGTACCATGGTCCCCGACGGGAGCCATGAGTTAAATCACACCCTACTGCAACGTATGATCGCCGTATGGTTGATGGCTTAGGAAATCCTGCTTGGGCAGTCAGGTTATTGTATCAGAAGTGATGGGGAAAATGCATACAGAAATAGGTGAATTAGAAGGAATACTACTTCACTGCCCGTAGGTGGTGTACGTCTTTATATGAAGCACCCGTGATATCGGGTGATTAATAGATCAGGGCAAGCATTCACTTACCACCGGCCTTCCGTCTGCAGCTGATGAGAACTGGTGCATCGAAACGTTTTGCATTCAGCCAAGCCTCCTCCTCCTGTCCTCGTCGCGTCTTCGGAGATTCGGGGGTGGGAGGGGAAGAAGGGAGAGAAAGGAATACGCTTTATTTTGGAGGTAAATGTTCAAATTTTCCAGCAAAAATGGCTTCATTCACTGAGATCAAGGCAAAGATTATTAAAATACTCAAAATCTAGAGGTTTACGTGAAATTTTAATAAAGTCGACTTCAATATAAAAATTATATAAACTATCAGAGGACTGAGTAACACCAAGGTATTGGGAAGAGGATATCGCATTGCCCAGAATGTCTAAGGATTCAGGACTGGGCGAGAGTTGCAATCGGAAAACACACTGGTTTGACTTCTGGTCGTTTATTAGAAGGCCATTTGCTGACGACCATGCTGAGACGTGGTCCGGGCGAATTTTTAGTACCTGGAGATGTATCTGACTTTTGAGAGGATGGCCAACAACCACATTATCAGCATATTTAACATAGGAACAGAAGAAGACGACTAGAGTTATCTTCATCTCAGTTAACTTCCTGGGACTCGCATGTTCGCTTGTACTGGCAACATAGTAACAATCATTTGGTGATCATAGGTCGTCAGTGTGTAAGGAGAAGAGGTGAGAGGATAAGATAGACCCTTTAAGGACATCACAGTTGTTGGAAAGGACCGTTAATGTTCATTTGCCGCACTGAAAGAGCTGAGTGCGGGAAGTGAATTAGTTCCCAAGCCAAGAGACAGTCCAGCCGGGAGAGCCGCATGCAGAGGTTTTATTACGAAGAAGATGGGGTGAGGTATTATAAAGGGCTAAGGAGTAATCAAGAAATGCACATGCATACGCCCAGCAACTCTTATCTAAATCTCTTAGAGCAGAATGGACTACCAGAGCAACAGCGTCTGGTTTACTACACCTGGCCTTATATGCAAATTGCAGGGGGTAGGAAAAATTGGAGGAGAACGGCGTGAGGATGTCTAAGATGACTTGTTCGTACAATGGTGCGGAAGAGCAGACATTTGGAAGAAATGATGTGAGAGCAAAATTAGACATTTTGGGGGGGATGGAAGTGATTCTCACTGAACGTCAATCGTCCAGAATCTTGGACTCCATGAAGGACAAGTTGATAACATGTGCCAATGCAGGGGCTAGCTGAAAAAAAAA